TCTGCGCCTCCTTGATCCTCATTCTATATCGCCTCTTCGCCGTCAAAATCGCGTGTCCAACTGCACCGGCTGTACCCGCTTGAAATGAACCACCCTCGAAGTAATAACTACTGGTTTGTTGACCTTCCTGCAGGCTGATAACGATCCCTATCAGTATTAGAATTCCCTATCAGTTTCACTATCAGTAATCCTCACATCTCTCACTAGACCTCTTCACAGCTGAAAGCGCAATCTAGGTTCATGTCTACCAAAATGAGCACTAGGGCTTCTTGCGCTGCAACTCGGCACATCCGCAGTCTATGCTTTGGGAATGGTGCCACGCCAGTGTCTGCGCCTCCCTGATCCTCATTCTATATCGCCTCTTCGCCGTCAAGATCGCGTGTCCACGCTCTTTCTTCGAACTTTCCTCGTGCATTGCATCAACTTATCTGCGTGAAGGTTCTTTATTTTTGATGCATCGTTGTTCTTTGCTTTTCTTCGCTAACGTACCTCTCAGTCATTGCCTTCAATTTCATATTTATAACCCACTAGCCACATCCTGTTGTCTGGAATGTGCCTTCAAGAACTCCGTAAGCACCCAAACCCTGCTTGTGAGTTTCTTCGGGTTAACCGTGTAAGTGTGGGCTAACCTGTAAGCACGGACAAGTTTCTGAGTTGTTTGACAAGGTTGCAAAAGTTCCAAGGATGTCATTCCAATTTTTTATGTGCCCACCACCAGAATCCAATTCTGATGGGAAGATGGTGATTAATGACACGACCTAGGCAGAAGTCGGATGAAGATCCGCTTTGGTCTCTAAGATACAACCCTAGAAGTCAATCACAGATGTGCCCCTCCCGCGTGGAAACGGTCAGGATTTACCGGTGAAGTGTACCTATATCCTGGGATGCTTCAAAGGGAAAACTGCAACTGATGGAAAAGTTAAAACCAGCGAAAGGGCTTTGCAACAGCAGCTGGACCGGGTGCAGGGGTATCCTCGTCCGTAGGAACCGCCCGCAAAACTCGTCCGGACACGCCTCGCCTCAACCAAGGCGGTGTGCTGCTAGGAGAGACGCCTTTCTTAGAGCCTCATCGGGGCTTTCTTTTGCTATCGTTCACCATCTACCGCTGTTACCCCATGAACTCATCGTGCCGGGGTCGTGCCTTTGAAGAGGTAGTCGATCCCTTGCGGCAGCACTTTGGCAGTTCTAGTGCAAATTTATTCAGGAAACAGACAGAACTCTAATTACACCAACAATATATAGTACGACCAAAATATTTAATACATACAAATATAAAGATCTCTTAAGTGTCGCGGTGCAAAAAAGGAACAACAATTGATTGGCGAAATCT